CCCCCCACCTACAATCCCTGCCGGTACGAGACTCAAACCCGCAACCTTTGGGTTACGAGTCCGACTCTCTAACCATTAGGCCACGACTTCCCAGTGTGGTTAGGGCTGGACGATATGGCCTAAATTTATATCACGATATATTTATTAATTTCGGTCGATACGATATAATTCCGATATCGATATGAACACTTATTTAAGAAAAGCCTCGTAAAAACTGCCAAGAACGCCCACAACAGATGTCTGTGCATACAAACTTTTGAAAAATGAATTTGATAAGTCTTGACACCTCATATAAAACCATATAATACTTTAGGGAGAAAAAAACCCAGCACAAATAAATTAATGTTCACCTTTTATTTGTTCTGGATCATGTGACACTGAAGACTGGAGGAATGATGCTGAAAATACAGCTGCACATCACAGAAATACAGCACAGTTTAATATATATTCACATAGAAAACAGATATTTTAAATAGTAAAAATATTTTAAAATGTTACTGTTTTTGCTGCACTTTGGATCAAATAAACGCAGGCTTAGTGAGCAGAAGAGAATTCTGGAAAAAATAAAAAAAACTTTAAAATCTTACTGTCCAAAAACTTTGACTGGTAGTGTAGGCTGATTATCCTTATGGACTGAAACAAATGTGCTTTAGCCCGTATAAAGAGTATGAAAGGTGTTCTGAGTTTCTGCAGAAAAAAAAATAAAGAGCTACAACAAAAACATGTTGCTGGAGACGGGCTTTTAAAAATGCGAACTGCTTGTCTGCCAGCAGGAGGCGCTGTGAGAGCAGCAGAACTAGCGGTTTCTCCGGTAACGGCTGTAAACAAATCAGCTCCGCTCATGAACGCTACTTTATCAGATAAAATGAAAATGCCATGGAAGCTTTTCTGAAGACAGTCCTTTCCCTTCAGAGATACATTCATATAAAACACCCGCGTGCAGTGCTCATGTTTATTCAACGAAGTCAAACGCCACAAATAACTCAATGTATGGGAAACACTGGTAATGTAGGCTATATCGAAATATCGGAAATGTGTTTAAAAATCATATCACCGTTATTGAAAAAAATTATATTGCGATACATCTTGATATTGAATTATTGTCCAGCCCTACATCAGAGCAAGTGTAATTACTGCTCCTCGATGCTCTCATTTCCCGAGATGTGCTTTTAAATCCGAATGTGAAAACAACATGCACACTCTCGTTACTACAAAGATTGGATTTGTATTATTAGAGCTTTCCGACTTGAGTTCACCGTCATTTGTGTGCGGCGTTCAACAACAGAAACAAAGAACAACAACGTTAACAACAGGAGGATGGACGACACTGTGATCGGAGCTGTGTTTGTTGTGTCTCGCGGGTTTCACAATAATGGACATGGAAAGTCGACGTATACGTAAAGCACAAAAACACGTAAGTCGACGTATACTGTAAAACACAATGTTTACAGTATGTTTACACGGCGTTTTAAATCATGGTGGGTGAGGGCGTTTTCATACTCGTTTGGTCAATCGATGTCTACTTACGTCACGATTAGTACCAGTTGTGCTGGTTAGACCCTGCTCCGGAGTAGGAGCTAATTTGGTTCTCGAAAAAGGCAGTCCGGTACTAAAATCGCTCCCAGTTCCGGCGGTGCGAACACGCCGAAAAGTGGGTAGTTCCACAATTAGTTCTGGTACTATGAAAAGGTTCCTGCGGTGCGAAAGGCCCTTATGGTACCGGTTTCGGTACCCAACCCTGTGGGTAGTTCCACAATTAGTTCTGGTGCTATGAAAAGGTTCCTGCGGTGCGAAAGGCCCTTATGGTACCGGTTTCGGTACCCAACCCTAAGCTCAACCAGGTCTCGTCCCATTCGTCAATATTTGTGATATCACAAATCCCAGAAAATATGCGTTGTAGTCCAAACGAGCCGTTCGTTGTAGTTTATGAAAAGTGATTTCTGTTAAATAAAATATCTCCTTTTGAATTGGACTTTGAGCTTTGTAACTTCGCAGATCTTTTTTATGCTCAAACAGCAACATTACAGACTAACTAAAGTGGAAAAAGTGAAAAAGCATAATAGGACCCCTTTAACCATTTGTACTTTCTCTAACACGCATATTTTAGATTCACAATTCATTTAAAAGCCTCTGGTGTGTAAACATAGTAAATATCATCAAGTCCTCCTGTTCTTTTTTACCCCAATTAAAGTTATAGTAGAATTAAATAGTTAAAGAAACTTAATTCTAATGCTCATTATATTAGCGTTAGCCGTGCTTATGCTAATGATTAACTACTCCAATAACAGCGATGTTCATTTAAATCCGACATTCAAATTAAAATATTGAATAATATTCATAACAGAAGTGGTGTTTCTCACAGACTTGCACTCTATTTGTGGCGCATATAGATACAAATTAATTCTCTGCCAGCAGGAGGCGCTTGTAGAGCGGGAGAAATAGAGGTTTCCTCGGTAACGGCTATACACAAAGCAGCGCTGCGCTCACAAACGCTGCTTTACCAGGCATTACAGGCCAGATGAAATGAGAAAAAGACATCCATAATTTTCTGAAGACAGTCGGTTTCCTTTAGAAATACAACGATATAAAAACACCCCAGTCAAAGCGTTTGGGAAAATCTATTTGTGGCGGTCAGTTTTGATATTGTGGCGGGTCGCCACAAATAAATCAATGTATGGGAGACACAAGATCTAAATATTAAAATTAAAAATGAAACTTACCTGTAGTGCTGGGCGGTATACCAGTTCATACCCAATACCGGTGTTTATTTTTGTTATGATATGAATTTTTTAAATACTGCAATACCGGTGTAAGTAGCTTAAACAAGGTTGGGAACGCGACACTGTTTGAGAGGGGTCTCTTTTCACTGTTGCACTGTGGTGAGGGAACAGCTGTATGTGTTACTAAGCGTGAAAGTTCAGAAACTGAAGCTGTAGAACTAATAGAACGTGATGACACAGAAGAACTCATCCACAATATCCACACTGACCTCCACAAATATCCAGCGCCCGCTGCCATCAGCTCCCGCGTCTCACACACACCAGCGAGACTTTAGCACTAGATTTAGCAACTTTCAGACCCTTTTAGCGGCTTTCTTCCACAGAATATTCATACTGACAAACCTAGAGACTTTTCTGGATAAAGCTTAGCTATGGTTCAGTTGGAGGATTTCTCCAGTGCTGTCCCGCGAGCGCGAGGTCTGACTTTCCCGGAGAAGTGTCGCCTCTCTCGGCGTGTGTTCTGTGCAGTGAGCGGCAGAGAAGCAGCGACTCCTCAATAAATGAGTACAAAACAGCGTTTCCTAGCACCTGTCGCTTACTGAGTGTTAGGAATTATAAATATGAGCGTAGTTCGTCTGTTAATATCACATGCACTTTTTTGTGTGTTGTTGTATTTAGTTTGTTACTCAGAGGCAGGCAGTGCGCTGCATGAGACAAAAGAGTAATCTAGCCAACACAACCGCATAGCCGCTCTTTAGTGTAGATGCATGCTGATTTTATCAGACGATGCCGTGATTATAAATGAGAGTGACTCCTGGTTAACATGTATTAAAAGGGGTCGTGTTTAGTCACTATTTAGTGTGGTATTTTTTGACAATATTCACTCATCATGACAGTAAAATAGGGCATTCTAAGTCAATATACTGCAGTATTTCCTCTCAATCAGTAGAAGATATGGTTAACACCCGCTCATGCATGAAAAAACAATACCGTCATGTACCGTGAAACCGGTATAATTTTGGAAAATACCGTGATATAAATTTTTGGTCATACCGCCCAGCACTACTTACCTGCTTGAACTTTGATTTGATTCTCAATACTGTTCCTCGCATCGCCCTGCTTCTCTCTCTCACTCAGCTCCAACAATGAACTGTTCCAATTATACACTTATCTTCACATAGCTATGAGAAGCGTTAAACATGGACGTGCATTATTTAGACATTTTGCCTAAATCAGTAATGCATGATCACAAACCTCTCAGTTCCTCAGTACCTTCATCTTTCACTCTGCAGGGCTCTGAATAACTCAAGTCTTCACTTTCCTCTTTAATGAACTCCATTGTTATAACAGTACACAGATCTCTGTAGATTCGTCTGGAGTTACTCCTGCTTGCTTAACGTAAAGAAGATTAGTTTTCAAGCACTATGAGAACATGCGCAATCATGCACCTGTATGCCAACGCGCATATTTCTTAATTAAAGTGCACACGGACCTGGCAACACTTTAATGCGTGTTTCTTGATGAAGAAGCATGCCGCACAACTTCTTCTTCTTCTTCGTTGGTTTGATGGCGGTTCGGAGACCTACTGCACGCCGCCGCCGCCTACTGGGCTGTTGCGCAATAACGGGGCGCCAGATCCCCTTTTGATGCCCCTTAAAGAGATAGTTCACCCAAAAATCATTTACTCAGCCTCATGTCGTTCCAAACCTGTATGAGTTGCTTTCTTATGTTGAACATAAAAGAAGATATTCAACATAAGATAGCAACTCATACAGGTTTGGAACGACATGAGGATGAGTAAATGATTTTTGGGTGAACTATCTCTTTAACAACTGCTGGGTAGCAACCAATTACATGCAATCTGGATTACGTAATCAAACCCAAAATATTGAGCACTCATAATTAGTATATATTACATTTTATAATGCTCATAATCAGATTTCAAACTAAAGGTTCTGTTCTCGTGAAATCAAGTCTGTGCAAGATTTTGCTCTATTTTATTTCTGGCAATTTCATAATTAGAACAATATACACTATACACACAACACATATGTGAACGTCAAAGAAAATAATAAACAACATTACTAAAATATATGTTATGCATCAATAATAGCAAACACACGGCTAAAGAAGACTGTAAAGCAGGCACACAATAATTCTCAAAACAACAGCTCAGTTTAACAAGATGGTTTTGAATGGAAATAACAATTAGGTAAGTAGATATCAATGTCATTGATAATTAATTTGGATAATTAGATAATTATTGCTCCTCCCAAATATGTAAGTGCAAACATTCCTATAGACCCAAATCTAAGATTTATGTATTTGAATTGCATATAAAATATTCATCCATCTGGATTATTAACATAAACGTAATGTGATGCACATTTGTCAGTCATACATAAATGAAACAGGTATTGATAACAGATTTCTGTAATAATATTAATAGATGTTTTAAATGCACAATAACCAGGTTTATATATTTATCATCAATAAATCCAATGTGTTTCAATCTCATACATTTTAACTAATTGAATATTCTTTGTTCCATCACTAGACATATTTTAAATTGTTTTAAGTTCATACTTTTATTTTAAATGAATAGTTTTCATAATGAACAGATTTGTGCTGATTCTAAGCAATTTGAATAAATGCATTTTAATTGTATTTATTTAGTTATTTAGCTAGTTTCATTTGTATGTATGACTGGACTTCCCCAAAAGTTTCTTCATCAGATTTGGAGAAATGTAGCATTGCATCACTTGCTCACCAATGGATCTTCTGCAGTGAATGGGTGCCGTCAGAATGAGAGTCCAAACAAAGCATTATTATGGATTATGAACTTGTATTTTAGTTAAAAAGGTCTTAATGCTGGATGTGTTTCAGCTTTTGTCTTCTCCAGATGTTCACTGATGGACTGGAGTGCTGTGGATTATTGTGATGTTTTCATCAGCTCTCGTTCTGACGGCACCCATTCACTGCAGAGCATCCATTGCTGAGACACTGATGCAATGCTACATTTCTACAAACCTGATGAAGAAAAACTCATGTCTGTTCATGTTAAAAATGTGTAATCCAAATGGATTGAAGTTTTATTCGCAATACAAATACATACATTTTACATTTAGACCCTCTTTTTTGTCTTAACATTATACCCTATGTGTTTATGAACCAATACTCTGTTTACTTTGTTATTGCCACTCAATCTGTCTTTTGCAAACAATTCTATCTTTGCCTTTTGTACCATTTACATGTTGTGCATTTCTTTGGCCAGTGAGCGAGTCTGTAGATTTCTTAATGAACAGAATCTCCTCCTGCATGAAGCGCAGTGATACGTCTTTTATCCCGTGTGAACCCGCTTGTTTTTTCAGGTTTCCAGACTCTGCAAAGCTCTTTACGCACAATGAGCACTTGTAGGGTTTTTCTTTTTCAGATGCATTTTCAGATGCTTTGGTGCATTTTCAGATGCATTTTCAGATGCATTTTTCAGATGCTTTGGTGCATTTTCAGATGCATTTTTCAGATGCATTTTCAGATGCTTTGGTGCATTTTCAGATGCATTTTTTTCAGATGCATTTTCAGATGCTTTGGTGCATTTTAGCAAGGCTCTAGTGAAGGCTTTGCCGCACTCGGAGCACACGTGAGCTCTTTTTTTTGAACGGCTTCTCTCTGGTGTGAATTTGCATGTGAATTTTAAGGTTCCCCTTGCATGTGAAGCTCTTTCCGCAGTGATGACACGTGAAAGGCGTTTCTCCAGTGTGTTTCCACATATGAGTGTTCAGGTTTGATTTTTGTTTGAAACTCTTTCCGCACTGAAGGCAGGTGAAGGGGTTCTCTCCGGTGTGAACTCTTATGTGAATCTGAAGGTTTTTCTTCTCTCTGAATCTCTTCCCGCACTGAGGACACTTGAAGGGCTTCTCTCCGGTGTGGATTCTCATGTGTGTTTTAAGCCTGTCTTTACGTGGGAAACTCCTTCCACACTCCACACACGTGAACGGCTTCTCTCCGGTGTGGACTCTTACGTGCAGCGTCAGGAAGTATTTCTGTCTGAAACTCTTTCCACAGTCAGGGCAGGTTAATGAACGTTTGGCTTGCTTTCGTTTAGTCTTGTCTTGGCTCAAATGCTCGTCGCTCTGTGAGCAACTAAACGTTTTTTCTGCTGGACTGAAATCAGAGGAATTCTGATAGTAATGGTGCTTCTCGTCAAAGTCATTCAGGTCGTTTTCTTCCTTCACTTTCATCAAATCTAAAGTGAGAACAAAACAAACAGTCAAAATGTATTCCAAGAAAGGGAATTCTTGTGTGTCGGTCCTTGTATCAACATGTGCTTACTTCTTTGTGAACTGTATTCTTATTGCCAATGTCTGTATTTGTGTTTATATAAAAGATCATAATTTATTGAATGCATTTCTGAAACTAGAGGTGAATCCCTTTTGAGCGATTGCAGGGTCTTGTCTGTTAATGCAAGGATGTATTTTTGTAAATCTGATTATCTGTGTTCATGATGATGTAATATGTACAATGTAGAACTGCAGCTTGTTACGATGAATAAATCAAGTAAAAATTTAGCAGCAAGCAGCAATTTTCACGGCCAAGCACTACAAAAGCAACAAGCCAGCAAACATCACACCAACTACAGCAATGAGTTACTGATGCCATTTTAAGATGATTTTAGTCAAACAAAATCTGAAAAATCATAAATACAAGCACTACTAATATGATTTAATGGGTTATCACTTTTGATCAATAGGTGGCACTCTTGGTGAAAACTCAATGTGAGGTGAAAATGGCACACACAAAGTTTGGTGTCAATATCTCAAAGCTTTGCAGAAATACAGTCATTTTGGTATAATTCCAGCTAATTCATTGATGTGTTAAACGATAACCATTTCATATATTGACACCAAATCCATAACTTTTTGCCAGCATGGTCTGAAGATGTTCTAGGTCAAATTTGGTGAAAATTGGACGAACGATCTAGGAGGAGTTCAAAAAGCATGTTTTTCAGAAAATCAAACTGGCAAAAATAAAGTTGGGCTGACTATGGCAAAATTGGTATCTATGTTCTCGGCATGACACAAAGAATATATTGAGACCAGTTTCATTACAATAGGTTAATACACTCATTATTTATTAGCATTTTTGGAAATTTCATTATAAATTTTGGCCCAAAACATTTTGAGACACATACTGAATTTTGTAACGATACGCCAATGTGTTTGTAAAATATAGCATTTTATGAAAAAACTAATAAAAATGGCTGACGCCCAAAATGGCTGACATGGGAAAATTGGGTATGGTTTGACTCAGCATGCCTCACCGAATTTTGGGGGGAAAAAAACGTTTTGTGATTTTTGGCCAAACCATTCAGAAGTTATAAGCATAAATAGCCATTTTCATATCTCCAGACCAGTAGGTGGCACTATGCCGAAACTGTGCAGAACTGTGCATGGCAAATATGGCCCAAACATCCAGTTTGGTTTCGTGAGACCATAGGAGCTTTCACAACACATAGCTCTAGAAACATAGTTCTAGAAACTGGCCGTTTTCGCACTGGCAGTCGACAGAGACGTCTACAAACGTCCAATTACATAATTAAACAGTAAGAATACAATAAGAATACAATTCATAATTAATGAATACATAACATCAGTTGCTCAAAGATAAATCTGAGAGAGAGAGAGAGAGAGAGAGAGAGAGCGTGCAGAGCTCCAGAGACTCACACATGCTGTGTGGTTGTTTTCTGGTTACAGAATCCCAAATTACTGTTTTGCCACTTCACTTATATATCCAGGCCAGAACAAAGAAATATTTAAATTAGCTGTAAAACAGAACACCTTTTGGTTGGTCAGGATCTCATGACCCCAGGGTCACGCCTGGCCGGAGAACGGAAAACATTCTCACCCCTCAACAACAGAGCAGAATTCTAATATATACATCTCATAATATATGTGGCTGCTGTGAAATTGAGAACATTTTACAAATCGCACTGAGACATTTAAAATGATACCAAACATGACAGAATTACAATCATGAATTCTTGAAATAAAATAAATGCAGAATGTAAGTAAAGACACTCTATGACACACTCATGTGTGTGGGCTACACCTAGGAGGGTGAGGGGGGATTAAGGATGGGTGATGGGACAGCTGAGCAAATGGTTTTCTTTGAGATCTTCCCCTCAGATTAGAAAGTTTATTGTTTTATTGCGGGGGCATCTGTTTTGTGACAGCTCCTGAACTTCGGCTTCATTGGGATATCAGACCAGCCTTACATCATCTACAAGTTTACATTCCACAAATATATAGTTTTCTTTCAATTTCTTCAATAATTCTTTATTAAAATCAAGAGAGAATCTAGCAACAACATTTTCTCTAGAAATAAATATTTTTGATGTTTGGTCTTTGACCATTTCAATCATTTCATTAGCAATACCTTTAAGACACAGCGTCTTGAGCACTGGAGTCAGTGGGCAACCCCAACGCAGTAATTTGTATTTACCTCCGGGGCTGTTTTTCAGGACCCTGTAGAAAATATCTATCAGGTTTGTATCAGGTATAGGTGGGTTTGTCTTGACTTTATCCATTTCTTTTGCCAGAAATTTCTTTAAGACAGACCACTTGACCACCTCTTGCTTTTTGAAGGTAAATAATACTGCTTTATTGTTCTTCTTTCTGTCATCAGAGTATTCCACTGAATGGGACTCCAAGTGGTCATAAAGCCTCCTGGCCATGATGGTTGCTAAGATCAGATAGTCAACATTAAATCTGTAATGAGTCTCAGATAGTTTAAAAGCCTCATTAAAGGACTCTGGGATGTTCACTGATTGATGAAGTATATTGTTACAAAAAGCACACAAAACTGGAATCAGATTATATAAGTTATTCACAAAGAATGAGAGCGGTATGTTATCTGGACGATCAACTTGTTTTTGGTTCACTGCCAAGGACTCAATTGCATTTACAATCTCTTTTTCCTTAATCAGAGGTGTTTGGGGATTTTTAGTAAAATCACGTTTTGTCCTGTATATAGGTTTGCAGCTCAACCATGTATCAGTAACTGGGTAATCAGAGGATAATAATTTGTTCTCCTCTTCAGTGATATTTCTTTTTGGTTTCTTGCTTTCTTCTTTGCTCATCCATATTCCAAAGAGAACTGGGTTATGGTCAGGAGAGCATTCTTCATCAGAAATCTCACAGGTTTTAATATACTGCATTGACTCCTCTGGAACGAAAAGATAATCCAATCTTGACTTGACAGCTTTGACAGGATCATTACTTGATTTGTAAGTAAACTCACATTCAATTGGGTGAAATCTTCTCCATACATCTACAAGATGGAATGATGTCATAAGTACCTCCACAACTGGTTTCAAAGATAAGTGGTATTTGTTTTTTGTTTCAGAATTTCTGTCTAGATATGGATTCAGAGTAGTGTTAAAATCTCCTCCAATCAGTAAGATGCCATCTGCATTTTTCTCAATTACATTAATGAGTTTTATTAGCGGTCTAGTATTAGCTGGAGGATTGTATAGACTAACAAGTGTGAATAGTTGTCCTTTTAGGGTACACTTAACTACAATATAGCAGCCATTATTATCCCTTTCTACTGTGATTGTACATGATTCATCAAATATATATTTTCTTATCAAAATAGCCACTCCTCTGTTTGGTGATGTCTGTGTGGTGTAGATTGATTTCCAATCTTCCAGATTCTCTAAAACCTCAGCTGAATGTGTGTCTTGAAGGAAAACAACGTGGTGTTTCTCTATTTTGCTCCTCACTCTGTTTAGTTTATTTTTGAGTCCATTTGAATTCCAAGACATAAAAGACAGATTCTCTCCAGAACTCATGATGATAGTGGTCCGTGTGTCAGGAATCCAGGAACTTTAACCTGAAATCCAGATTATTAAAAAGGAAGATTTTTTTTTATTATTATTTTAAATCTTGTATTATTAAATAATGTTATTTTTAGAATTACATTTTCAGTTAATGTCAATGTATTCTGATTGCCTTAATTGTTTTGAGTTGTGTAACATCGATTGAGAAAATAAGTAATGGGGGACATGAGACCCTGCAACAGTATTTACACATTACAATAAAGAATAAATAATTATTTAGGTTCCAGTAACTTACAGCGATAGAGATGTATGTCATCCGAAGGTTTCATATCCAGGCACTGTCTTCGACTAGAGCTGCTCCCAGCAGTTGTGTCGTGCTCACAAATCAAATGCTGCACTCTACAATCATTAAAAAGAGAGAAAGTTTTAACAATTAAAGTTCTGTCTATTAAGATCACATATTGATTAGATACATGTCTTAACTATGAGAAGACTTTTCAGTATTATGGATGTTGACATCATTGATATTTAGTTATTAATATAATTTATAAGTATATTTTATATTATAAAATAAGATATTTAAGGGTATAGAGTTAAGTAAAATCTTATCAGTTAACGGCATAAATAAACAGAACTGTAAACTATAATGCACAATTAGACAAACAGTTCATAACAAACACTTACTGTGCACTGAAATTACTAGCTCTCACACGTAGACATATGTGTATGAATGCTGCTGACAAACTTTTATGAAATGAAATGCATGGGGGTGGAGTTACAGCGGTTGCTCACAACTCCAGTCCTGGGCATCCACAGCCCTGCTCATTTTGTATGCCTCTCACATTAACCAAACATGATTCAAATTAGCAAATAGCTCCATTTACCCTACACAGGCCACAGTGCAGCATGTAATTCTATACAACATTACAGTAATTTCTTTGCCCTGTTTACTCTGAAGTCACAATAATCAATTTGTTTAATTATAATAAATAATTATAATACATACATGGTAAATAGACGACAAAACACCCTTTTTTATGGATTAAAGAAGACTTCATTAGAAAGGACTTGTCTTCATGTCTTACAATGCCATGACAAAGGTGTTGATATTTACCTTAAAGAACAACCTGATTTATTAAATATTACATGGCAAGTCAGTTAAAGCAATATCAACCTTTCCTTTTTTGCACAAAATTCTTGTGTGTATTTGCATGTGCACCTCAAGGTTCTCTTTATATTTAAGTGTAAATAATATAACAATGGAAATTATAAATAATTAGTACTAATAGAAAAAAAACATGGATAATTTGCATCTGTAAAAGTTTATATTTTGAAGATGGTTACTTAAAACCTCTCAACTCTGTTTGAGGGACATTATGAATATCATCGGCAGTAGTCATTTTGTTGACTTACAATAGAGTTTGCATAATATTGTTTGCCTTCTCTTTTACATTTCACATTTAAAAGCTTTGCATTTGCCCTTAAGCGGAGGTTGCGTGCATGAAAATCATGATAAACTGCATATCTGTTGGCCACCATCCTCTTTTGTTTAAATTCAGTTCAATTCAGG